TAAAGTAAGATTTGATGTAATAGTTTATTAACAACTATGCTTTACAAGTTGGCTGCTAAAGGTGCCTTGTGGAGTTTTTTGAAGCATTTTTGAATTATTCAGAACACACATTGTTTACATCCTTGTTTGTCCTGTTCCTTGCTGACACAAAACTCTGCAGCTTTGTGCATCACTACCTCTTATATATATAAAAACACTGCTTCACAGCGGGCTGCAAGGTGGAGCGGTGGTTTGCACTGTTGCCTCGCAGCAAGAAGGTCGCCGGTGAGGACACCCGGGATTTTTCTGCGTGGAGTTTGCATGTTCTCCCCGTGCAGCGTGGGTTCTCTCCGGGTTCCTCCCACAAGCCTGTTGAGGTTAATTGGTGATTGTAAATTGTCCATAGGTGTGAATGTGAGTGTGCTTGGTTGTCTGTCTCTAAGTGCAGCCCTGTGATAGACTGGTTACCTGTCCAGGTGTCCTCTGCCTTCACCCTGAGTCAGCTGGGATAGACTCCAGCCCCCCATGACCCTAGTGAGGATTAAGCGGTGTATAGATAAACAAACTCAACAGGGTACCATAAAGGCACCATCAATGAACGGCAGCATCTGGCCAGGGACCTGTACGTCTCTTAAAAACATTTTTAAAAATAATGGAAAGTAATTGGATGTAAATTACATGACATGAAATCTGATGATTAAAAATTTATCAGGTGATTTGTTTCTTTGTTCCAGCTACTTACAAGTGAGGATTTGCTGCTTTTCTCACTTAAATATAGTGAACTGAGCTGAGCTGTCTTCAGTCCACTCTACTGTGATGTTTAAATCACTACAGAGGACATTTCATTGACTTGCTGTCATTTCTTGGAGACTTATCCCGACCCAAACCATCACTGTGCTTTTAATGCAGGTAGTTTCTGCGTTGTGTGATTCATGGTTGTTTGCTCGTTCATGTGTACATTATGAATGAGTGTTCCACAGAATGGGGCAGGTGCATTAGCCCAGTCATAGTTTTTAAAGCCTGGCAGTGATGACGTAAAATATGTGGGTCATTAGCCCAGTTAGCTGGTCAACTAGCATTAAGGATGCTTCATTCATATACTGTGTGGTGAGCAACGCGCCATCATCTTCATATTTTATTGCTTCTTCATTGCCATCACATAAAAAAAGATCTGAATTGCCACAAAACCGATTAATTTCTGTGACATATTCAGCATTTCATTCACTTATCCAATCGTTTTTGACATGTAAACATCATCCATTTCTCCTGATATTGTTCCTCCTGAGCTCTGATCCTTTGAGTCACCTGCTGCATGTCCCATATTTCATCCTCAGTTTTCGACCATTCGTCTTCGTTAGGCTTTCTGCCGTCTACCATCTTTGTTCGATGGCCTTTTCCAAGATGCCAACAGGATTTTTATCAAATATCAGTCTTCTCTTAACACAATCTCTCCTGTTATATTACCAAAGTACAAGACTATGTATGGCTTTGATATCTTGGCCCAGAATTTTTATAACCCTATGAATGTTTCACCAAAGTTACACAATTCCAAGACTAAACCAAAATGCTTTCATCGCCCCACATCGTCTCCAACAACTATTTGCTTTTAAGCTTTTACAATTCCCAACCATTTCCCACATCATACAGTGTTGTGTCCTCCAGATATCAAACTATTCATCTTTTAAAATGTTCAAAACCAATTCTTTTTCCTATTTATTCTATATGTGTAAAGTCGTGTTTCCTTTAATCTCCATTAGATGATGTGGATCTGACTCTGCTATTCTATAAATTGTAAACTTTATTTCTGATTCTTATTATCCCATTTTTATCCAGAATTACAGTTTAAATTTAAGAAAATCAGCTCTGAACATGGAGGCCGCTTCTTCACGCCGGGATCAATACTCATCTAAAAATAATCTAACCTCACCGTTATCACTGAATTCGTCCATAACGGATCATTTGAGTGTTGGTCACATGATGAGAGGAGGTTCATGTGCATGGGGGAGTGCACCAGCCTTCCCCTGGGTTCAAACATGGTTTTGTAGTTGGTTGCAAAAAGCCTTTAACCATCACACACCACGGACCGCAACTGGATGTCACGTGATCTGTGCTCCATATTGAGCTCACGTCATGACCCGGTTAGCATCCAGTGGTGATGACTTGGTTTTAAATGTTGACAAAACTAGTAAGTGGGCCAAAAGTTCTAACAACAAGGGTAAGAGTTGCCCCTTACTGTGTCGGCCATCTTTAATGCTTTTAGTTAAGCGTTTCCAGCAAATGCTTCCTATTTTTTTCGATTGATTTCTCCTCCTTCTCGCTCTTTAGATGGCGTCAAACGACTCGCGGCTCCAGCAGCAGCCCTCACAGAAGGATGCGGCCGACCAGAACTTTGACTACATGTTCAAGCTGTTGATCATTGGCAACAGCAGCGTGGGGAAGACGTCCTTTCTGTTTCGCTACGCGGACGACTCCTTCACCTCCGCCTTCGTGAGCACCGTGGGCATCGACTTCAAAGTCAAGACCGTCTTCCGCAACGACAAGAGGATCAAGTTGCAGATCTGGGTGAGTGGTTCAAAGACGCAGTACGTTGTGGTTTTGACTCGTGGTGTTGCGCTGCATCACCCCACTGCTGTTTGTCACAGGCAGATGGAGGGTGTTAATACGTTTTTTTGTTCTGAACTGCAGCTCATTTATCACCTCTGTCCCAATCTACTCTAAAGCATTCTAAAAAAATAGATTGTTCCAAAGAAAAAGTGGATGCTCTGGTCTTTTTTTTATATTCTATTGCTTGATCTGTAAATAAAGAGAAACAGGGACATAAAAAAGTAGCAGAACAATTTTAATGGACAACTGTCTGCAGGGATGGAAGGCGTGACCGAGGACTTCAAAGACGTTTGTCCTGAATTGTGGGTTTGTCAATTGTGCAAGTTCAACCTGTGAATTGTGCAAGAGTACAAAACGCATGACTTCCTCATGTTTTCAGACACATTCTTACTCCCGTGCTTGCTGGAAGTCAGGGTTGAGCGATGATGAGAAACGGTCTTATCTCAGATCTGGTGGCTTTCAGAAGATCTGCTCTAATTATTTTTGACCACTTGGATGTTTGTGAAAATAAATAAACTCTTGCATAACCAGATGCATTGAACTTGTTAGCTTACAGGATACTTAAAGAGTCGGCATTTAGTTGAAACTGTGTTTCTTTGTCCTCAGAGTTTTGAGAGAGTTGATATGGGTTTCTCAGTTGCAGATGGCAAATATTATGAAAGCTGAGTGGCAGATAGCGGTCATGTAATGCTGATATGATGTTGTAGGTTTTTAGCAGATATAGTATTACACAGTATAGGCAAGATGAGAGAGAGCGTTTCTTCAGGATTATTCAACCAACAAGTTTTGCAGAATGAACATCTGGGATATGACACTAAACGTTCGCTGTCACTGCCTCCTGAAGGACACCTCTTCAGGTCCTGGTAGGTCTTCAGGGACATGATGGTGTGACGATGGTGACGCCGCAGATGCTGCCCAGAGCTGTCTGTCTGTCTGTCTGCATCCCCTCCAGCTGTATGTCCGTCTGGGATGCTGTCATGGAGCCATGTTTCTGTTAAAGCAGACACACAGCAGTCCCTCCACTCTCTGAGGGTTTCTCTCAGCAAACGTCCAGCTTGTTGTGGAGGGAGCGGACATTGGAGAGCAGGAGGACGGTCCTGCTGGTCTGGAGGGGTTAGCCTTTAGCCTAGCATGGATCCTGGCTCTCTTCTTCCTCCTTTGTTTACGTTCGTACCGGGTAACTGCCGGCATCATCTCCGATCGGACTCCGTGTTGGTGTAGTATGTCCACGTCAACCGATCGCCGCAATTTCAGCGCCATTCACTGTCCTGACGCCCAGCAAAGTCTCCCGGCCTCAAGTTTTGCAGAATGAACATCTGGGATAGACAAGACACTCAAAGCGTTCACTTTCGTTGTCTCCTGAAGGGGGCGCTGCGTCTATGTGCGCCGCCATCACCATGGCAAGTTGTGGCAATAGCAAAGAGTTTCGTTGTCGGGTGTGATCCTGTTTGAAACAAAATCCTGATTTGAAGTTTTGTAATATCCAAGGTTGACATTTACACTTGCTTGCTGCCCCACAACCATCCCCAACAACACATTTCATAAATATTTTATCAGCTCAGCTCTTCAGGAGCAGAGGCTGCAACAACTTCCAACAATTTCCAACTAATGTAACACGTTTTTCTCAATAAAAGGCCAAAATCAGCCTAATAATAGAGACGTAAACATCGTATTTGTTACTATGGTGGCTCATTACACGCACTGGGCTTTGACAGCTTGAATTTAAATCTTAGCATCCTCTCTCAGGTGACGTTGCAGCCAGCGCTGGCACACTTCCCAGCGTTTCACATCAGCCACTGAGGATGGTGAAAGCACTGCAGACTCTGCATTCATGTTTTATTCACCAGCCTTGTGAAATCATTGGCAGGTGACGCAATGAATTAATCAGCCGCTGCCTCTTACCTCAAAATGGCATTTAACCGGCCTGATTAGTGAGTCCGTCACTAAACTCAAGGTCCGCTTACCAGAACTTTGGCTGCATGTTTAAGCTGCTTCCGTCCTCCAGTAAGTGGAGCTTTTATTTCCAAGGTTTCATTCTCAATATATTATGATGCCTTTTAGATTGTCGTGCAAGTACTAGAGTCTGCAGTCATGTGCTGGGTGTAGTAATTACAGCATGCAGGGTGTTGTGATAGCAACGTTAGCGAGAAACTGCTCATGAAATAATACAATGGCGCTGCTGTATTTACAGGAGCATCCAGCGTTTCTTTGTTGTCGAGACCTTCAGGTGTTGATTCAGTAGTTTTGAAGTTTCATAGTGTGTGACGGATAATGTTGCTCTGTCCTGGTTCAGTTTGTGTTTAGCTACAACGTTAGCTCTGCATGTGAGGTGGTAAACAATCACTCCACCAAATATTGCACCAGTCGGCCTTGCTCAACGTGAGAAGCACCATTAAGCCTGATTGTACAATGTTTTCTGTAGACATCAGCGGGAGGAACAGACTACTTGTGAACCACCCTCGCATCTTGTGCAACCTAGAGGAGACAGCTGGGTCTAACTCATTCTTTTGCTTTTATTGGACATTTACTCAAAGTTGGCTCCAAACTAACTGGTCAAAATAGTTGATAAACAGTTAAATGTGAACGTTGCAAACAGCAGCTGATGCATCACGGCTGAGCAACCAACATGGCAGATCATCTAAACACAGTCAGCTAACTTGTAATATTCCCCAACAGTTCTTGTGCTTGGATCATCTTATAGTTCCATTTTTAGAACTCCTATGAAGATAGGCAGGTCTGCTTTGAGTCTGTTCTTATGATGTCTGCATAAAATAACCAGCTAAATGATTTGACATGCTCTAAATACTGTTTTATGTTTGTTTATGAATTATTTAGACTATTAAAGCTAGCAGGCAGAGTGCACTCAGTGGTCGATTTGGTTCATCTGGAGATAATGTGCAGGTTTTTTTCCCCCCACATCGAGTCAATTGATGATTTTATTTGACTTTCTTTGCTTGACTGCAGTCTGAAAGGATCTCTGTGTGACAGAAGTTTGCTTTTCTGTCTTTTTAAAACCCATGGACAGGTGGGGGAAAGTGAAACAAAAAGACTAAATCATGACGGGAAAGTGTAGAATTAAATCCAAACTAGGAGCAAAAAGCCGATGTTTAGTTTTTGTTTCCTGCTGTTTGCTTCATTTCTAGAGTAAACCTGTAAAGAAATAGTTTAACTGGTTGAAAAAGCAGCAGACTCATATCTCCACGTCGGGAATATTTATTTCCAACATCTGATAATCTACGGACCGGAAACAGCTTCTACCATTGAGCCGGATCAACACCTCTGACGGTCCCGGTAACAAAATGAACCTTTGTGTTCTGTCACACTGTGCGACGAGGTGTATCCTTAATTTCTCCAACACGTGCACGTTCCTTCTAGTACGCTGCAAATCCTATTAATACACACTGTTAGGGCTGTTCAAACAAGATGATTCATTTGAGCCAACAATCTGGGAGCCACTGTACGATACACAAACAGCGACCGATATGAATCAGCAGCACAGGAGCCAACACCAAAACACACACTGCCTGACCCGTCTCCTGTACATGACATGAAGTGTTGGTGCTGTGTGAGCCTCTAACAGCTGAGGAGGGAGAAAGAATTAACTGTAATGAGAGTATAATGTGTATGAAGTGATCACAGGATTAACTTTGAGAAGGTGGGCAGATTGTGTGTGACGCAAGTACCGAGGTTGCTGTTGAAAAACGGCGTTTCCTAGGCTCAGGAAGCAGAGGAAGTTCCCCATCAGCGTCTGACGGAGACGAAGATATACTGCAGTGTAGTTAAAGGGTGTGGGAGCAGCAGGGTCCTCCCTCGTGCGGGTTAATAATCAGCCGTGTGAAATTTCCTGACTGTTAAATTCACGTTAGCCGCCATCTGTGAGAGATTTCACCAGATCCTCGGACAAAGCGTCTCGTCGATGAGCCCACTCCGCCAGCTGCTCGCCTCGCTTTGTGTGTGTGTCGTGGAAACAGGCTTCCCTGATAACGCAACGCACGGAGCTCCAGCATATGTACACTACGTTGTGTGCACACGTATTGTTTACATCCTTGCTTTATGTGGCACGGAAATATGTTTCTGATCTTTAGGCAAACATGCACACCTTTCACACACATACGTCGTCGTGCGTGGCGACCCGGGGGATGATATGCCTTGGATGTAAACGCAGGTGACGCACGTTTAAAGATCAGGGTCCCAAAGACGTCAGACTGCACGGAAGGCCGGTTTAAACTCCTCCCTATCTACGATCGCCTACATCCACAAGGGAGCAGCTTTTGTTTAGCGTTTGCGGCTGATTGCAGCAACCCTGGAGACTGTCTGTTTGGTTAGTCGGCCTTTTATGCTGCCAAATATTTGATCATCCCTGCGTGGATGAGATAAAGACGGACCTGGAATATTTCACGCTTTGCTAAAACAAAAAAAAAAATGAACCCTGACAGGGATCAGACTGTGGGGAACGAGTAAATCGGGGGGTTTGTCTGCTCTCTCTGACGGAAAGAGGGATTCATCCGGCACACCGCCAATCCGTCTCGTCCATTTTGTAAAGTGAGAAGGATGATTTGGGCCGACAACCCAGAACAGTCCCGGCTGTAATGGAACATTCATAACCCTCAGTGGCCTCTGGTTACCTGGACAACCCAGTCCTCCTCCTCCTCCTCCTCCTCCTCTTCAAAACGAGGAAAACATCAAACAAACACCACAACACACACACACACAGAGGCCCCTGATGCAAATGAAGGGCTCACACAGGTTACCAAGGAGCCGTGAGACTGGAGTTTCTCTCCCAACTCCGTCTACCTGTTTGATCTTTTTTTTTGCTTTGAACATCCACTAAAGTAGCCGCTGACTGCCGTATCGCACACGGCCTCCGTTTAATTAGAAGATGCTTTTGATAGACGGGGTCACTCGCCGTGGCTGGAAGGCACCGCGGACACACCTCTTTGTTATCTGTACGTTTTCTGCCGCTGGCTGCTTATTTGAAGCAAGTCCAGATTTGATGAGGAATGACTGTGGTGGGAGCTGGTATCTAAATGCCATCTTCTTGGTAGATAGTGCGGAGTGGGGGAAAAAAAAAAAAAAAGTGGCATTTTGATGTGCTAATGACGCCGGCTGCTTTGGAAGGAGAGAAATGCATTAAGGTTTAATGGAGTACGATGGAAGCTGGGCCTCGCCTCTTATTTCCCACTACTAAGGATCATAACTGTCCTTCTCAGTTGCTACCTGCTATTAGTGGAACCAAACATAAAACTCACTTGAATTTTGTTAGAAAATGCTTTTAATGAGCCGGATTGTATTACGGACTTGTCAAGTGTTACGGCAATTAGTGTCGGAGAGAAAACTGATACCCACCATTATCCACGATTATTTACACCAGATCATTTCCCAACCAGACGTTTTAGTAGCACTGGAGGTTTATCTGAAGCTGAAGGATGGAGAAGCTCAACTAATGTGAAAAAGACAGACAGGATGATTTAAAAAATAAAACATTAGGTAGTGTTAATGCTAAGCTAACACCTACACACCAACAGAGAGGGTGTGAAAGCTATTTTTAAGTCAATACAGTTAGCTAACAGTAATGGAGTAATAAAAATATAAATAAATTGATAAATGGTATAATAATTGATAAATGTAAAATTGATAAATGGAAAGCAGTTGAAAATAAACTGTTTAAATAGATGCATAAAAATAAAAATGTGATGTTGAGCTTCTGTCTTTGCAGGTGGCAGCATCACGACATCCAGTTTCATTTCAAATGAACATGAAACTGAACTAGAGCAGTTTATAACCCTGCATTCAGCCTAACTTAGCTGCCCACCTGCATTCTGCCAGATGTTTCTGATCTACAGTCGACCTCTCACCCAACCTGCTGAGTTTGCTTGAACTTTGTCATCGGCTACTCATGATTTGAACAATATCGCCCTCTTGTGGTTCAAAAGCTTGCATGAGCCAAGATAAACTAATGTTTGTTGTGCTTGTTTTGTCCACCTTAATGAATGTAAAGGATTTAAAACATATGTGTGTGTGGATGCAGGACACAGCCGGACAGGAGCGCTACCGGACCATCACCACGGCCTACTACAGAGGAGCCATGGGCTTCCTGCTCATGTACGACATCACGAACCAGGACTCCTTCAACGCTGTGCAGGACTGGTGAGTTGGAGGTTGTTCACGTCATTTTAACTCTGTCTCTGCAGAAAAGACGCGTTTGTTTCAGTTGTGCTGTTTTCATAGAGGTGCAGGAGTTTATATTAGAGTGTAAAAATGAACCCAAAGTGAATACAAAGATGACAGAAGAAGAAAAAATCTGTTGAGGGAATTTTAATAACAAAAACCAGAGGGTTATTTTTGTTCAGATTTATCATTTTGTTGGTTTACCTCAAAACAAACCCAAGAGTTGAATAGAAAGTGTAAAGCAGGGTTGTCGAATCCTGGTCCTCGAGGGCCACAATCCTGCATGTTTTAGATGTTTCCCTTCTTCCAACACACCTGATTCAAATGATCAGGATGGTTATCAGGCTTCTGCAGAGCTTGATGATGAGCTGATCGTTTGAATCAGGTGTGTTGGAAGAGGGAAACATCTAAAACTTGCAGGATTGCGGCCCTCGAGGACCAGAGTTTGACACCCCTGGTGTAAAGTCAGACCATGGACGAAGGAAGAAGTAGTCATCTTTGGGTATAAATTGCGCCACCATGTGGTCGGTTATGAGGTGTGACGGGTAAAAGCAAGCTGCCTTTTCTTTTTGCACTCACTTGATTGTTTTTTTCTGGAAAGAGTTTTGCAAATCGCTTTCATTTTTCACCTGATCCTCAGCAAATATGTTACTCAACATATCTGGATGACCTGCAAGAAAAATTGTTTTCTTGGTCACCAGATTCTGTCAGTGTTTAAGCAACATTATAATAGAAAACGTGTCTGTGAAGATTCTCAGTCATCCAGGTCGTAGTTATTCTGGTAGATTAATGGTAGCAACTGGACTTGCTTGAGTTCCTTGAAGACGTTCCACCTCTCATCCAAGAGGCTTCATCAGTTCTGACTGACGAGTTGGGAGTTCCAGGTACTTAATTAATGGCTCCTTAAGGATATCAGTATGTGGAACTCCCAACTAGTCGGTCAGAACTGATGAAGCCTTTTGGATGAGAGGTGGAACGTCTTCAAGGAACTCAAGCAAGTCCAGTTGCTACGACTAAACTACGAGAATATATTAGATAACGTGTGCACATGTCAACCCTGCAGATTCTGATGTTTTTATCAATTATAAACGTGTTCTTTTTCTTTCCCAGGGCGACACAGATAAAGACGTACTCGTGGGACAATGCTCAGGTGATCCTCATCGGCAACAAGTGCGACCTGGAGGACGACCGGCTGATACCCACGGAGGACGGCCAGCGGCTGGCAGAGGAGCTAGGTTGAAAACTTTATCTCACAAATCTTGTTAGCTGGAGACAGTTTTAGCTTTGGGTCGATGTCTATTTTAGCATCCAGACGTCCGTTTCCTCTTTACGCATCAATTGAAATCGCATTTCCCCCTCATCTGTGCCCTTTCCCCCCCTCTCAGGTTTTCAGTTCTTCGAAGCCAGCGCGAAGGACAACATCAACGTCAAGCAGGTGTTCGAGCGCCTGGTGGACGTCATCTGCGAGAAGATGAACGAGAGCATGGAGGGAGACGTCAACCTGGTCACCAACCACCGGAACCAGAGCCTCAAAGACTCGTCGTCAGAGAGCAACGGCAGCTGCGCTTGTTAGAACCTCCTGCCTTTTTACCAAGTCTCCCAGCACACACACACACACACACACACACACACACACACACACACTAATATTCACATCCTAAGAACAACTTCTTCTCTGTGCCTCAACCGCGGAAAGTGCTGCTTCCTCTCTCTTCACCTGAGCCGGGCTCTGCTTTGTCCGCAGCACCTCGTAGGACGGCCAGCTGAGATAATCTTCATTCTCCTCCCCCCAGACCTATCTTCTCCCTGCAAGAGGCCCTTTTCTTTCTCCTTCTGTCTCTGCGGTCTTGACCCCTCTGTTCTGTCGTGAGCTGATAGTCGACTACAAACTGTCCAGAACTCTGTCCACGCGTTAATTCACTGCTGCCCCTGAAACGTACATTCGTTCGGCGGGTCAAGCTGGTGACGCCACATGTGTTGAGGTCACAATTAAATGGCTGCATCTTTGTCATTCGTTGTTTTGTTTGAGGTTCATGTAGTGCAGATGCTTCGGTTTCCCAGCAGTTGTAGCCCTGCAAACACTGGGTTACATGCTGTGAGCTCTGCTTTTGAGACGCAGATGAGATTTGATTCAAACTGTTTGGATTGTTGAAACAGAATGTGTCATGTTTGCCTCAGATTTCTGATGGATTTTAGCAGCTGCCAAAATGACAGTTGGGAGAGTGGAGCGCTTGTCCAGTCGCATCTGGAGAGCTGACAGACAGGATGTCAGGTTAAGCTTCACTAGGCTGAAAGTTATAAACAAGATAAACAAGTATCGGACTTCTTGGCAAAAGGTAAACGAGAAAACACCACTTATGTGTACAGATGAGTAACAAAAAGCAGCATGAAGTGTCTTGGTAACAGCTTCAATGCTTCTTGGCACTGATTTTAAGAGTTTTTCTGTCCTTTATTTGGTGTTTTGATGATGCTGGTGTCCAACACATACCTTCCAAAGTCTCAACAAATGTTTCCTCGTAGGATTTAGGCGATCACTCAGAGCAACTTTCTCTTGATTTGTATCGATCCTTCTCTCTAAGGGGACAAACCGTGCCAGTTAAATACCCCCCACAGCGTATCAGAGGCACTTGATGCCCTCATTGGAGGTTTTTGTTCATGCTTGTAGCTGTTAGCTTAGCTTAGCATAAGAACTTTTTCATATGGATGAAGCAACCAGATGTTGATTTAATCCCTAAAAATTCACATCTGTGTTTCAGTATTTTTCTGCCTTTAAAAATGTGTGAAAATTAATCTCCCAACATGTCAAACTGTTCTATCAGCTCCAGTCTAGCTCTGCCTTTTCTTTTCTCTGCTGGGGGTTCATGGTAAGGATAAATATCGAGCTCTGTCCTCATACGTGTGTCAAACGTCGCGTGAGGAAGTCGTCTGTCACGTGACCTGCTTCGTGTCCTCACTTACTCCTTTGTACTCGTTTTTCTTTAATGCCGTCTCCGTCATGCTTTCATCATGATAACCACACACAGACTGCTGCAAACCTACGAGTATTCACAAAGTGGTAAATTAGCTTTTTTTCTGTGTGTGTGTTACTGACATAATGACTGTTGTGTAGAAGTGCAGCACAGTGTGTGTGTGTGTGTGTGTGTGTGTGCTCAGAAAGGGAAGGACGCTGATATTAAGTCCAGGCCTCGACTGTAACGTTGAAAATATCAGGAGGAACAACGAGCTGGTGCAGAGCGTCGCTTTAATCCCCGTTTCTGTAACATTTGTCTTTTTTTTTCACTGAAATAATTAGGTTTTATATCCACTCCTCATGTTTGTAGCTGTAGATTGAATAGCTTTTGTTGTTTGTTTTGACATTTCAGTATTGAACAGTCGACCTGCCACCTTCTGAGAAATATGAAGTGTCTTTGGTTTGTACTGCAAATCAGGAATGGAAAAAAAAAAAAACTTGCTCAGTAATGTGTTTCATTTTCTGTTAATCGTCACTTGCAGTGCCATTCGACCATCACTGTCCACGTGGTGGATACTGACCGTCGGTTAGTGTCGACCACAGCCTCCGTACAACGACAGCAACCTCATGTTTGCACGCCAAAGCCTTCGATTAGAAGAGGTTGAACCACAGCGAGTGGTCAGCCCACTCCCTGCCCTCTCACAGGCCTGTGGTCAGTTATCTGTGCTGTCAGTGTGCGCTGCTGAATAGTGATACAGCTTCACAGATATCAGATGCTATCATGTCATCCACACACCACACTGAGCTTTAATGCAGGAGTCCAACATAAAGAGGTCGCGTGCAAACGCTCATAACACTACTTGTTCATCTGTGCAGTTTTACGGTGTGTTAAAATTGAATGCAGAGGCTTCTGGGAGCATGTTTCACTGAAGGCTGCTTGAATACATAGTAAACGTGCTTCGGTGGCACCACTGAACTGTCTATCGATAATGAGTTTTTCACCAGTTTGTCCAGAATCTGCCATATTGAAAAGCTCCAGATGCACTTGTACAAACATATTTGCGGCATCCAGAGCTGTCAGTCTTGGATGTGTTTCTTCTTTCTTACAGTAAACAACAGAAGTGAGTAAACCGATGTGCAATATCGCCTCATGATTCTAAATCGAGTCGCCTCTCGATACTTTGAGACCATTTCCTCTGGTGACCAATTGAAACAAATACTTTAGAAACACAGGCCCCCAAAGTAGAAACTCAATTGATCACTGATGCAAAAGTTAGAAAACTTGAGTACATCTGTAATTTCCACGGAGCTCAACTGCATGAACATGGCGGCTCTGAAATGACCTGTGAACCCCAGAAACTTTTTAGTTGCTGCGTTGATCTGCGTCATGGCTCCAAATGAGCTGCCAGAGGACCAACAATAGAGCAGCAGTAATCAGAAGATGTAGAAGGAGTACCACTAATCAGAGCTGCAGCGGTTAAAATGATGCCACGGACAAAAACAGACGGGTCGCTTCTTTAGACTCGCCAAAGGGGTTATCAGTGGGTTTCTGTGGGACATCGTGTTACAGCAAAGTGTTTGGATGGTGTTCAAGACAAACACCCATGAACGTAGAAGAATGTGCTCCTAATATTCATCAGGCTTTTTTTTTGGAGGGGGTCAGATGAAGCCAAGATAAAGTTGTTTGGCTCAGATGGAGTGTTTAGTGTAAACCAGGCCAGGATTACCACCATGAAAGCATCGTCTTCACAGTGAAGCACGGAGGTTGGAGTGTGATGATAGGGGCTGCAGGAGTGCTACAAGTGTTGGGAAGAAGACATTTATAGATGCACCGATTACTGGCTGATGAGTTCTGCTGAAGCTTAGCAGAAGAGGAATATTCAGAATCCCAGAACAGTTTCTATAAAAGAAAGCGGCCTGTCTTGAATTCAAAAGATTCAAAACATGGACATTCTTGGCACTAAAAGAATTAAGGATTCAAATTTCCGTAATAACTGGATTGCCTGTATTTTTAATTTAGTAAAAGCTTTTTAATTCCTACATAAGAGGGCCCTGCTGTTCTATCTATCAGTTACTGTAAGGTGATTCAGTTTGGAATCCTCTGATACGAGTGTACTCACCTCCGTTGTTTACTGTTTATTTATGCTCTCTTTGTTTTTAAGTGTCGTTTTCCTGAACTTTCTGAAGGACGGACCGTCGGATCATTTGCTCTCTTTGTTTTAGATTCTGAATGTGTTGGATGAAAGCATTGTGAAAAAAACAAAACAAAAACAGAAAAACAGTGAATCTTATAAACAAGGATAAATGGAATTTGTTGACATGTGTATGTGAAAATAAAGAATATATTAATTACAAAAGCCAGAGCAGCTCTGATTCAGTGTTCGTTTTGTGAGTCATGCTTCATGGTAGGTTGGTGTTTTGCGGTCGTGGCTGCATCCAAAGTGTAATTTATGAGCAGGCATCCTACCACCTAACCCCAAACATCAGGCCAGGACCCTTTTTTTTCATGTTTTATCTGAAGTAGCAGAAAAACCACACTCATCAACAATACAGGTTTCCTCATTCTTGTTTCCTTGTCACCAGATACCTTCCTTGTGCGAAAACTTTAAACCGGCTGAAAGGGAGGTTGACTTGAATTTATGAAAGCTGATTCAAAGGTGTCGTCATGCAGTTTGTCTTGTTTTGTTGTGTCCAGATAAGTGCTTTACCCATTTAGCTGGAATCCGTCCTGTCCTCTTTGTAAATGATGTAAAAGACGCGCTGAATTGCATTTAAACCGCCGGGGATGGGCCGCCAAGTCCCCTCAGGATGCTTATCATGGGTGAAGAAAGAGGGTTGTCTGCAGCTCTGATAATGCTGCGCAAACGAAGAAAACATGCGGCTGCAGCCAGGAGATAAGAAACCGTTTAGGTCTGCTGCTTTCCGTTTCATGAGGACATG